TTTGTCCACCTTGTCATAATGTCTAGGTTTCCGTCTTTTGCATGTTATGAAAGCTTGTTACGTTTCCTGCTTCTGAGAGTAATACTGTATGACACTGTCCAGGGCCTGGTGCTTTAAGAAGTGTTTCTGGTGCATGCTGTGTACATCTGCTATTGTATTTGACTGCTCTTTCCCATGGGCCAAGTCCTCTGCAGAGTTCTTCTTGCTTGCGGTGGGACATGTTTAGATCGTTAAGTTGTTGTTCTTGGATTTATTTGTTAAGATAGGCCTAATAGGAAGAAAGGAAGGAAGGAAGGAAGGAAAGAAGGAAAGAAGGAAGGAAGGAAGAAAATCAATCCAAGAAAAAAGGAAAAGGAACAAATAAGCAAGCAAACAAATCAAAAAGTATATGCCTGATTTCAAAGAAAAAGAAATTGGGAGGGTAGGGAAGCTGACCCAAAAAACTAAAAAAGAAAGGAGCCAACAAATGAACAAAAAACTGCAAGCCTGATGCCAGAGGGGGTAAAAATAATGGTGGGGAGGAAGCTGAAATGAAGCTGATGCTTTGGAACACTCTACAATCAGTAGCCTTGATGCATGGGAGGGCCTCTGTTGTCTTCTGAGGGAGACCCGCCCTTATAAAGATTCCCTTGCCAGTGCATGTGGAGTCGAGAGGGGGCGGTGCAGAGTTTGGTGTAAGTGACTACAGGGGCTGTGTTTCTGTATGAAGTCTGACTGTGCTGTTGGGCATTGGGGGTGGGGTAGATGGTGTCAACCTGTCCTCTTGACAGGGGAGGGACACTCGAGGCTGCTGCCCTTCAGGAGGCCCCCACAGAAAAGTGAACTATCTCCTCTCTGTGACCCAGGCTTTCATCAGAATCCTGCCTTCAGCCTATCTGTGCCTGGCTGTTGGTCTGCCTGAGGCTAATTCTCCAGTGTTATATCTCTGGCTGGCAGCTGGGATTCAAAACAAGTCTTAAAAGTACCTGGTGGCATGTGGACCCACTCCCTTCCACTGAAAGAGAGCTTCACAGGGCTGCATCTGGCACCTTTCTGTCCCAGAAAAGCAGTTGCACACCTACACATGTGCTCAGAGTCTATGTTGAAAAAGCCACGAACAGGTTATCTGCCATCCGCGGGTGCCTCCGTCCCCTGCTGCTGAATGGAGGTTCAGTATTGCCTGGTGGGTTTTTGTCTTTGGAAAGGCAAAATATCCTCTTCCAAATCCACTCCATGAAGAGGAACATTCTCTTCCCCAGCGACCCAGGATATCCCCACACCCCACACCACTGAGCCTTGCTCCAACCCTCATGCCACTCTCCCTCCATCCCTGACTCTGCTCTATGAAAGGGGTTCCCACCACTCTGTAATATTATGGCTTTTCTCTCTCCCAATTCACTCTCTGAAGCTCACATATGTCACGTTCTCTCCTTCTAATTGTGCAGATTATTTTTTTTCCTCAGATGGATTTCCTAGTTGTTTAAAATGATTTGATGTTGATGTAGCTATGTCCCAGGATCCCCTTATTACTCCGCCATCTTAACTCTTCCCCCATCCCATAGTTTCAGAAGAGAAGTATGATATAATTCTTAACCGTGTTTCCCTTTAGGTAAGGTCTTTTTCCCCCTCTGACTTCTGTTAAGATTTTTTCCTTTATCTTTGATTTTTCTATAGTTTGAAGCATATATGCCTAGGTATGGGGTTTTTGGTGTTTTGTTTTGTTTTTTTAATATTTATCCTGCCTAGAATTCTGTGAGCTTCCTGAATTTGTGGTTTGGTGTTTATTAATAATTTTGGAAATTTCTCAGCTGTTAATAACTCTGAATATTTCTCCTGTTCTTTCTTCTTCTGGTATTGCACTAGCAATTTTTGAATTGTACCACACTTTTTGGACACTGTTTTTTCCAGTTTTCCTTCTTTGCAGTTTAAGAAATCTCAATTAACATGTCTTCAAGCTCACTGATTATTTCCTTGGTGCAGAGCATTATTTTAATGAGCCTATCAAAGGCATTCTTCATTTTTATTATACTGTTTTTTATTTCTAGCATTTCTTTTTTATTCTAAGAGTTTCCCAATCTCTGCATACATTACCTGTATGTATTGTATTATATGTATTATATGTATTATATGTACTTTTTCTATTAAAGCACTTAATTATATTAATCATGGTTATTTTAAATTCTGGTCTGCTAATTCCAAAATCTTTGCTATATTTGATCTGGTTCTGATGCTTGCTTTGTCTCTTCAGACTGCCTTTTGCCTTTTAGAATGTCAGCTGAGTTTTCTGAGAACCAGGTAAGATCTATCAGGTAAACTTTACTTAAGGAGATATTTTAAGTATGAGGTTCTATGTTTATCTGAATAACATTAGGATGAGTTTATGGTCTGCTATAGTTGTAGGTGTCAGAGGTTTTCAAACATTTCCTCTGGTGTCCTTGTTTTTGTCTCCTCTGTTGTTCTTATTTTCCTAGAGACTCCTTCATATATAAGGTCTGAGAGGTACAGTTCTTTCTGTTGTATCCCCTTTAGACAGGAACCTTCCTGGTGTGTGGTGAGGTGTGGGGGAGGAGAAGTGTCTTATAATCTTATGATTAGGTCTCAGTCTGTTACTGGCCTGTGTGCCAGGGTTGTGATCCTCAGTCCCAGGGTTGTGATTCTCAGAAGTGCTTTCAGTTTTCTGTTTTCCTTCAAAAGTGAGACAGGGGGCGCCTGGGTGGTTCAGTGGTTAAAGCCTCTGCCTTCGGCTCAGGTCATGATCCCAGGGTCCTGGGATCGAGCCTCACATCCGGCTCTCTGCTCGGCAGGGAGCCTGCCTCCTTCTCCTCTCTCTCTCTGCCTGCCTCTCTGCCTACTTGTGATCTGTCTGTCAAATAAATAAAAATCTTTAAAAAAAAAAAAAAAAAAGTGAGACAGGAAGGCCAAAGTTGGGCATTTCCATTCACCTTGGATGGTTAGACTTTGGTAAAAGTTTCCTGTCTGTGCAGGCCTTTGCTAAGGAGAAGAGAATGCTCTGGAATTGTTTCAAAATGATTACTTTTCCCCTCCCGTTGAGGGAAGATTTTTCTCAGATCTTCACTCTTAGTGGGGCTCTACTAGGTAAAACTCCCAAAAGTACATAAGACTGTCAGGGCTGGTTCTTCACAAGTTTTCATCTCTCAAGCTAGCCCAAGCTCAGATTCTAGCAGTTAGCCAAATTGCTCTTTAAATATTCCCACCAGATGCTGGCTGCAGTGGTGGTTTCTGGGTAGTTTCTGCTCTAGGTAAACTCTGCGTCTCTGTATCTGTCCATCTCCAGTTTTCGTGTTCCTATGCCTTATGGTCTTGATTCTCTCAATTCTCTAATGGATCTAAGAAGTACTGCTGACTTTCAGTTTTTCAGCTTTTTTTCTTGCTGTGAGGACAGGAGTGACGATGTTCAAGTTCTTTACATGCTGGAAAGTAAACTACCTTAAAAAAACCTTTTTGATCTCTCTAGTTATTTACTTAGACTAGTTTTCTAGAAGTTTTCTCACAAAGTGAATACATGTTTTAAGGATTTTGATACATACTGCCAAACTCCCCTCCAAAGAGGAGGTACCAAAATAACTGATATTTATTTTTCTGCTCATAAACCTTCACTGCTCCCTCACTGGTCAAAGATGATGTCCACACATTCCAACCAAATATACAAGTCTCTGATGGTTGCATAGGGTCACTGAAATGCCCTGTACAATATGACCCTTATCTGTTTTTCAATTTGATCTGTCATCACTCCCTAACACAATTCTTTGGTTTTAGTGACCGGTGAACTTACTGTGTAGAGCATGTCATAATCATTCATTGTGTTTTTATTCAAGTCATCCCTCAATATTGAAAATAATTTCCCAAGTCTTCATAGTCTTTTTCAACCAACTTACACTTGTTACTGCTCACTTTGGCCTAGCCCATATAAACTGTTCCACATATAGCTACCTACAGGGCAGTACTTCCAGCATCCTGACAGGTGGCAGGAAGTTAAGAAGTTTTCAGAGAATACTTTTATAATAAAGGGCACAGAGTATAGGGCCATATTTACTTTCTGCAAAGTAAAAGGAACTAGTTTAGGTAATATAACTAAGAATTTCTAACATCATTTGGAATAATTAAAAGTTGAGGGTTTATGAATTAAAATTACGTAATTATAGCTTTTGGATTTTTGCATCTCATTGTATTTTTGGTCCCCCCTGCCCAACTGCTCTAATCTGTTTTTTTTCTTTTTAAAGATTTTATTTATTTGCCAGAGAGAGAGAGAGTACACACAAGCAGGCAGAGAGGCAGGCAGAGGCAGTGAGAGAAGCAGGCTCCCTGCCAAGCAAGGAGCCTGATGTGGAACTCGATCCCAGAACCCTGGGATCATGACCCGAGCTGAAGGCAGCAGCCTAACCAACAGAGCCACCCAGGCGTCCCTAATCTAGTTTTATTCTTTGCCCACTTTAGAACATCAGTACTACCAAAAACTAATATCTTAGATAAATTAATTATTCTATTAACATATTTAGTGACATTAAAAACTTACCTGTTTTGGGACACCTGGATAGCTCAGTCAGTTAAGCGTCTGCTTTTGGTTCAGGTCATGATCCCAGGGTCATGGGATCGAGTCCCACATCAGGCTTCTTGCTAAGTGGGGAGCCTGCTTCTCCCTCTGCCTGCTGCTTCCCTTGCTTGTGCTCTCTCTCTCTCTCTCTCCCTTTCTCTCTCTGACAAATAAATAAATCTTTAAAAACAAACAAACAAACAAACAAAAAAAAACTTACCTGTTTTTCCTTTGGCTCTTTAGAAAAACCCATAAACAAAACAAGTATTTCTTAGATAAATACATAAACAGTTTAACTACACTTGTGTCATGAAGAATGTAAAGTCTAAATAATAAGCAAATACGTGGCACAAAGAATTATTATAATTAAAATGAAGAAAAGCTGTTAGCAATTCTGAAAAATAGAAGTTTATCAGCCTTAATGTTTGACTTTTTAAGAAAACTTTAAAAAATCCAAAAAACAACTTACGTTCCATTTGGTCAAACATTACTGAAAAGAGGAAGTCTCGTGGTGTCATATAATATTCTCCTTCATGTTCCAGTGAAGAAAACTGCATGAAGCGCTGTTTACGAAGGGACAATTTTTCTCCCATCTCTCCAGAAACAACATTATCCTAAAAGAAAAAGAAACTGCATTTTAAGACTTTTCTCAGTATGATTCCCCAACTTAGCTACTTCCAGAATAATATTTACAGAGTACTTAGTATTTAGGTCTAACAGCCTCCAAATTTTTCAATCATTGATTTAATAAATATTTACGTATTGTCTACGTATCACTCTTTCAGGCATGAAGACAAAACAGTGAATGATACTAACTTGAAGGAACTTCTATTCCAGTTAATGAAAGAAATGACAGTTAATGAATATATGTAGAAAATAAGGTGAGCTAATGAGAAATGCCACAAGGAAATATTAAACAGGATAAAAGAGTCATAAGTAGTATTTTAGATAGGATACTCAGAGGAGGGCTTTCTAAAGAGGTGACATTTAAAGAGACTAAATGAGGTGCAGTTAGTGAGGCCTGGGGCTCTCTGGAGGAAGAGCATCCTGAGCAAGAGGTAAAGTAAGATCAAAGACCATGAGATGTGTGTGTGTGTGTGTGTGTCTGTGTGTGTTCGTTCCTAGGTAAGCCTGGTGTATTTAAGTGTGGCAGAAGATAAGATCAGAAAGAAAGGTAGAGGCAAGAGATCAAGTAAAGTGCTATTTCACAAAGATAAAATATATCATGTCTGACAAATAGCTCTGCTTTCAGAAATATACTTACATCATGGATGGAGAGTGCTAAAAGGATAAGAACTGGTAAAGTATTGTCAGTGTGAGATTCTGGGTATCTCAGGCAATGGCACCTAGACCTTGACTCAATGCTGATAGAGACAATACTGGAATCTTTACTGCTAACATTTATTGAGCACTCACTATGTGCTAGGGATTATATTAATAAAGCACTCTACATCAATTATTTGGTTAGTCCTCACAATAACTGAACAACAGATACTAGAGTATATACAACAACTAAAGGAAATGGCACAGCCAGGATAAAATACCTGGGGTGTCCAACTCAAAGTGTTTCAATCCTTTAACTACCACACTAACCTCCTATCCATGGCTGGGCACTGTATCCTAAGCAAATGGAAGAAAACAACACAGCAGTTAACATAATCACCAATGTCAATATAGCAATCTTGACACAGAATGTGAGTATTATCTGTGAAATCCAAAAGCATACTCTCACCTTGGACTACTTTCCTTAAAGTACTGGTCCGACCTGGACCACAACATCCTTCCTGGACACACATTACTTCCTTTTCACAGTTACTGCTACCGCACCTATTATTTACCTTGACACAGTGACATTCACTGATTATAACTGAAATGGGGGAAAAATGAGAATTCCAGTTGCTTAAATCTCTGTAAGTTCAAAGTCAACAAAATTCAAAGTTAACAGCTCCTTTTTGGCTGATCTCAGTTTTCTAAAAAATATTAATTCTCTTTCCTTATTTTGACACTTGGTTTCCTTGAGCAGCTAGATTTATAGCTCCTTTGTGTTCTATACAGTGCATACCGAATGAGAGACATATGTAGGATACTCAAAAATACTGGATGATCTGAATCCCTATCTTCTTTTTCTTTTCTTTTTTTTTTTTTTACTGTATTTTTATTATTTTTATAAACATATATTATTAGCCCCAGGGGTACAGGTCTGTGAATCACCAGGTTTACACACTTCACAGCACTCACCCTCCCCAGTGTCCATAACCCAACTACCCTCTCCCTATCCCACTCCCCCTGGCAACCCTCAGTTTGTTTTGTGAGATTAAGAGTCTCTCATGGTTTGTCTCCCTCCCTTCCTACCCTCCAAACCCCCCACGTTGCATCTCCACTTTCTCGTATCAGGGAGATCATATGAGAGTTGTCTTTCTCCAATTGACTTACTTCGCTAAGCATAATACCCTCTAGTTCCATCCATGTCGTCGCAAATGGCAAGATTTCATTTCTTTTGATGGCTGCGTAGTATTCCATTGTATATATATACCACACCTTCTTTACCATTCATCTGTTGATGGACATCTAGGTTCTTTCCATAGTTTGGCTATTGTGGACATGGCTGCTATAAACATTCGGGTGCATGTGCCCCTTCAAATCACTACATTCGTATCTTTAGGGTAAATACCCAGTAGTGCAATTGCTGGGTCGTACGGTAGCTCTATTTTCAACTTTTTGAGGAACCTCCATGCTGTTTTCCAGAGCGGTTGCACCAGCTTGCATTCCCACCAACAGTGTAGGAGGGTTCCCCTTTCTCCGCATCCTCGCCAGCATCTGTCGTTTCCTGACTTGTTAATTTTAGCCATTCTGATTGGTGTGAGGTGGTATCTCACTGTGGTTCTGATTTGTATTTCCCTGGTGCCGAGTGATGTGGAGCACTTTTTCATATGTCTGTTGGCCATCTGGATGTCTTCTTTGCAGAAATGTCTGTTCATGTCCTCTGCCCATTTTTTGATTGGATTCTTTGTTCTTTGGGTGTTGAGTTTGCTAAGCTCTTTATAGATTTTGGATACTAGCCCTTTATCTGATATGTCGTTTGCAAATATCTTCTCCCATTCTGTCAGTTGTCTTTTGGTTTTGTTAACGGTTTCCTTTGCTGTGCAAAAGCTTTTGATCTTGATGAAGTCCCAATGGTTCATTTTTGCCCTTGCTTCCCTTGCCTTTGGCGATGTTCCTAGGAAGATGTTGCTGCGGCTGAGGTCGAAGAGGTCGCTGCCTATGTTCTCCTCAAGGATTTTGATGGATTCCTTTCTCACATTGAGGTCCTTCATCCATTTTGAGTCTATTTTCCTGTGTGGTGTAAGGAAATGGTCCAATTTCATTTTTCTGCATGTGGCTGTCCAATTTTCCCAACACCATTTGTTGAAGAGGCTGTCTTTTTTCCATTGGACATTCTTTCCTGCTTTGTCGAAGATTAGTTGACCATAGAGTTGAGGGTCTATTTCTGGGTTCTCTATTCTGTTCCATTGATCTATGTGTCTGTTTTTGTGCCAGTATCATGCTGTCTTGATGATGACAGCTTTGTAATAGAGCTTGAAGTCCGGAATTGTGATGCCACCAACTTTGGCTTTCTTTTTCAATATTCCCTTGGCTATTCGAGGTCTTTTCTGGTTCCATATAAATTTTAGGATTATTTGTTCCATTTCTTTGAAAAAAATGGATGGGATTTTGATAGGGATTGCATTAAGTGTGTAGATTGCTTTAGGTAGCAGAGACATTTTCACAATATTTGTTGTTCCGATCCATGAGCATGGGACATTTTTCCATTTCTTTGTGCCTTCCTCAATTTCTTTCATGAGTACTTTACAGTTTTCTGAGTATAGATTCTTTGCCTCTTTGGTTAGGTTTATTCCTAGGTATCTTATGGTTTTGGGTGCAATTGTAAATGGGATTGACTCCTTAATTTCTCTGTCTTGTTGGTGTAAAGAAATGCAACTGATTTCTGTGCATTGATTTTTTTTATCCTGACACTTTACTGAATTCCTGTATAAATTCTAGCAGATTGGGAGTGGAGTCTTTTGGGTTTTCCACATATAGTATCATATCATCTGCAAAGAGTGATAGGTTGACTACTTTTTTGCCGATTTGGATGGCTTTAATTTCTTTTTGTTGTCTGATTGCTGAGGCTAGGACTTCTAGTACTATGTTGAATAGCAGTGGTGATAATGGACTTTCCTGTTGTGTTCCTGACCTTAGCGGAAAAGCTCTCAGTTTTTCTCCATTGAGAATGATATTTGCAGTGGGTTTTTCATAGATGGCTTTGATAATATTGAGGTATGCGCCCTCTATCCCTACACTTTGAAGAGTTTTGATCAGGAAGGGATGCTGTACTTTGTTGAACGCTTTTTCAGCATCTATCGAGAGTATTATATGTGAACCCCGATCTTCTTCAGAACTTGTTTATTCATGTCTTTCCTTTTCTTTTCCCTTAAGTTACTACTACAAAAATGACTCAAGAGGCATGTTTTAATTACATGAGTCCATATTCTTATAATAATAATCAGAAAATTGAATTTTATTAATACTCTGAACATTTTATATGTAAGGCAGATACAGTAATAGATATATTATTATTTTAATGAACTGATACTGAATATATGCAGGAAAACAGTGGTAAACAAGACTAACATTAATTTCTACCAGAACACACTAAGTACTTTGGCAGTAAAATTACAGCAAGTACACAAATGAGACAGGAAAGGGAGAGTGGGTGAGAATCTTCTCAGTAAATGTCACAGGACTGTCAAAGTCCTAGATATGAGAGAGAATATAGTGTATTAGAAAAACTGAAAGAAGTTGAGTAAGGGCGTATACATTATTAGCTTATAGAACAATTCTATTTATACTAAAATTAATATGTAGTCTATTAAGAGAGTAACAAAAATAACTAACCCACATGGAAATACAGTATATTTCCAAATCCTTAAACAAATGCTGCCTTTCTTTATACTTCCTAATATCTAAGTTGTTCCTGACTAATTAAGAGAGTACCTTTTTACCCAACTCCATTCTTTCTTGTGTAAATAAACAAACTTTGAATTCCAACCAACTAAAAGGAGTCAATTACTCATTTATTCTCCTCCTCAAATGGTCTCATAACAGGACGGACTGCTGTTAATGCTGCCTCTCTTGGTTTTCATGTTGTCCTCCATCTTGCAGCAGTCCTATTCTTTCCTGGTATATTAAAAATGACCAAGAAGTAAAAGCACAAACCTCACACTCTTTGATAGCAAGACATGAAAACTATTCTCAAAGAAATCCAATTTTTTTCCTTCTAGGATATTTAGATCCAAAAAAACCACCCTATTTCATTGTTACCATTTTCCACATGCCTGTATGTCTATAACTTGCACAAGCATGACATTTCTCAAGACTCTCGAGAAGAAGAATTGTCATCCCTTCCAACTTTGGTTAAATATCTTCTCCAGTGAATAAGAAAAAGTAGAGGAGGTAAAATTAAAACTCCCTTTCATGGACTGATTTCTGAGCTTAAAGTTGTCATTTGAATTATAGGCCATGAACTTAGAAAGTCATTTATAAACAAATGACCTCCAAAAAATTTGTCCTACTA